TTAGCTGATTGGTTCTCCTTCCGCCTTAAATCTCGACCAACCTAGGAACCTAGTCACTTGGTCTGACGAAGCTTTTGTGTCAAAAGCGAAACGTTGCCCAGCCATAAATCTTCCGATTGTTACCAAACTTTTCGAAAACGATGACTACCACCCAATCGGTTCCAAGTATTTTTCACGTAATTAGACATGAAGCTGGTTAAAACTGACCTCACTTCTACCAGCCCTGATCTTTCGGTACTGACTTGTGATTCTGACAAACCTGGCACTTATTCACGTCCTGATCGACTTTATTCTTTCTGTGTTTGGGCTAGTAGAGGAGACATCAAAAAGGCTGCCTTTGTTAGCTTACCTCGTCTTGGTCACGAGATTTCATACACATTACAACTTGTTGACTGATAGTTATACCCTTTATTCATCCATCCAGCCCTACCACCTCCTCCAGGCAAGCCCGATTTGCTGGAAGTTGGCCCAACCTCAGCCCGGCTGGCTTTCAGGCCAAGTATCGGTACATCATCGTCTCCCATTGTCCATTACCTATTTTTCTGGCTTCTCACGAAGGATTTCGATAATCGAACCTTACACAGCATGCCCGTCGATATGTCATCGCTGGCTCAGTCGTTATCCGTGCATGGTGACCCAACAGCGACTGGACAAGAACAGCTGGTGAGTGCCCCGGACAACCATTTCTAGGCAGGTTCATCTGAAATATTTTTAAAACGTCACTAGTCTCTGTCGGTTGATTCAGCAGACAGAGGTTTGAAGAATCACCTATGACGAGGATACTTGTGATATTGAGCAGAGCCTACCTTCGTTTGTACCGCAAACCAACATTTTAAGGACCGAAACGTAAGTGTTATTTTTTGGGCGTGTACACCACGCAGTTGACAGATGACCTTCCACCGGTCAGACAATCTGTGCATCCACCCTCCGACATATTCTGGAACAGCGACACTGCTTCCAGCAACCAACAATGGTTGTTTTTCTTGATCTGAAAGCTGTCTTTGACTCTGTAAACCGCTAAGCACCATGGCAGTGCATGTGGAGCAAAGGTGTCCCCCATAAATTCTTGACTCTCATAAAGGCGCTGTACGCCAACTCCCGCGGCCGTATGAAGGTCTACGAGAAGCTCTCTCCTGAGTTCACCACATCTAGTGGTGTCCGACAGCTACCTACCCCTCCCCCCAAACCATCGGTGAACGAAAGTGTGGCAGCTACAACCATTGTACGGCGAGTACGCGGTTCTTACAGCTGACAGTGACGATGATGCATCCACAGTCATGTTGTTTTATCTGTAATCAGATGCAGAAAGTCCCAAGATGAGACATTCGCTCCTATAGATTTGTCAGTAATATGCAGATTCTTAAGAGTGGATAGCACAAGAAACATATCCATTAAAAGTGATGGGCGCTGACCAACCAACCATTCCTGTGGTAGTCTGTGTACTTCTATGACGTATGGAGCGATACTCGGTACGGCGGCACTTTGACACCGGCAGAATTTCCCATACCAGGTTGGTCAGTCTGACAAACACAGTATCTTGGTCCTCCTGGTTATGGATGACACGTTGGGTGACAGATTCATTTGTAAAAAACTTGTACTAAAATGTTACTGTGCTAAAAACCACCCGCTGCTCCACGGTCATCACAAGTGAAAATACTGTCATGCCACATCGGCCTTCGAGCGATATCATCATTCGAGTCCAGTTGCTTATTGTATACAGCAGGGAGTGCGTTTCTTCATCCCCTCTACCACAACCCAAATTGAGTACTCTTCCCAAAGGTCCCATCACCAAGACTGGCCACCTAGTTCACCAAGTATCACGCTCAGCTGCAACTTCTGCGCGTTTGTCTTCAGTAACAATCAAGCCCTACTTACTTGGACACCTCACACTGAAGCACGTGGGACAGCAAACGGCGCTTGCTGGCACGCTGGCTACCCACAACACTCTTTTGTATTGTCTATCGGAAGCAACAAGCCACCAATAAGAGGCCTTCCTACCTAATTCAGTAGTCGTTGACAGTAGGTCTTTCGTGGTTTGCTTGGCAACGCCTGTTAAAGAATCTCAATATCTTTTCCTGTTTATTGCACTGGCTTATGTCCAGATAGACTGCATCTCTGAATCTGCCAAGGAAAGGTTCTGTGGCGCTCTAGTGGCCCTTTTACAATGGACTGTGAGCTCAGAAGTCGTTATGGTCTTTGGTAACAGATAGTTAGGCTTAGCACCGCTGAGGCTCCACTGGATGATCGTCTCATATTGGACACAAAGAACGGAGAGTGTCGGCTGCAGGTATGTACTGGTCATGGACTTTTCCCTTGAAGTACCAACTTCCAGAACAGCGGAAGTCGTTTAGTTATGCGGTACCCAACAGCAAATCAGCCCTGAACCCAAAAAGACCGCAGGTTCTAGTAAATCTGCTTGAGATAATACTCGTCAGCAATTCAGAACCATTGTGGAAGGAAATGACACCTTGTTGATTCCCGGTATTAGATTTTATACCTTTTGCGAAAACAAGAATTACATCAGATATCTACCATCCCTCTGGTCTCTTCAAAATTCTATGCCTTCGTTACAAACGAGTCCTTTCCCTGCATCATTGAACAAAGCACCTGGCACTGTTTCACCTCAAAAGCTTAGTTCTGCCTTTTATTTCATCTTCGGTTTGGACCAAGTCCGAATGTGAAGTCGGCAGCCGGCTGTTTTTCAGACTGTACATCTAAGGACAACCACATCGTTTCTCAAAGTGTTCCTTCCGCCTGTCGACGTGGATGGTAGCACGTCGAGTGAATTCTGAGCTGTTGGTCTCTGTAACGAATTTACTAACCGGCGGCTTTCTTGTCCCACTTTTGAAAAAAGTGTTTGATCATTTCAATCATCGCTGCCTTTTCTACTTCTTGTCAAGTTCAGCAGTACCAAATTTACGAATTAAAAGTCTGACCGTACAAGCATCACTTCATACCACTTTCCACTTCATTTGAGTATACCAGCTGTAAACCATGTAGCAAGGGTTCCAGCTGCTACAGCTAATCGGTAGGGAGTGGGTACGTGGGAGAGCGGGTGAACGTCCCAGTTGCTGAGACCGAGGAATGGGGATTGTTTTAGCTTTGGACTTGAAAGCCTGCCTCACAGGGCAAAAAAACATATGGTTTGTTCCGGTGACCTAACCGGGATCTCACAGGGCAATATATGGTTTGTTCCGGTGACCTAACCGGGAGACTCTGACTCAAAAATGTGACCCAAAAACAGCGGACAGCAGGGCTTTATTGGGGACCCTGCCCGGACTCAATAGGCCGATCCGCTTGGATGCAGTGGGTTGGCTTAGCCCGTAATGCGTCTTTCGTCTGCTTGCTTCCCTTTGACTCTCCTGAGTAAACTGGCTTATCCCGTAATGCGGCTCCTCATTTTGCAGACTTGTTGCTTTTCGTCCGCTTGCTTCCCTTTGACTCTCCTGAGTAAAAAAAATTCCTAGTCGGTCTAGCTAGCACGATCATTGCAGCACTCAAACTCAACTAAGACATCAAGGTGACAGCTGTTGGTCGAGAATGAGTGGAGAAACAGAGAAGCGGAATACGTCTTGATAGTATCTAGTGTCATTAGGAAAGAGCAGGCTAGGAACAAAGTGTTATTATTCATACAGATTTGGACGATGCATATTCTGCATCAGAAGACAACTGCGCCGTCGGCTTATGATGGTGGAGGCCATTGTAGGTTCTGCGCATAGATTTTCATACATGTTCCCCGAAATCGCCCTTCTTGGCACGTAAGCCTCAGACGGCTCATGACCTGCAGAGATCCAAGTAGATGGCCTGCGCACAGTTCATCCTACCTACCTGTTACAGTCGATACTCTGGTCACAGAAAAAAGCTTGCACGAGTTTACCGTCTCCCTTTTGCCCACAAGATGCCTTCAGCACAGTAAGCCGATAGTCTTTCACCACCATAACGTGACAACATGATCATCGCATACTAGAAGTAAATGAACAAGCACAAATTAGACAGATGCATCTGATTCTGTATATTTTCATAAGGGAAACTACTCACAAGGTTGCTGAAAACTCTTCGAGAGCCCTCGACCTGATGCGGCTACCTGATGAGCCCCAAGAAGGGCGAAACCGATCGTGGGCCAGAAGATATAACACTCGTGAAAACCATATTGATTTGCAAATGAGTGTATTTCTCGAAAACAGTGGAATTTGGGTTCAAGTAGATCATAAGGTTGACGGAAACTCGGGGACTGCGCCTACCTGATGAGCCCGAGGTGGAAGGGCGAAACCGGTCGTGAGCTGTCGACGAGTTTTCAGCAACCTTGTGAGTAGTTTCCTTTCTGAGTTTTTGCTTCTTCTTCCATTGTTGAAATTTCTGAATGGAACCAGATGTGTGAAATGTCTCCGCGCTGACCGGAAGCGACTGAGAGGCCTGTCAGTCCACAGAGCTCGGCAAACAAACCAAAAACCAAGCAGCGCACCCAAGCTACCTATATTCCACAACACTGCCCGGTTGACATTGTATGACTTGGCAACGAGTTATGAAAACACCAATCAGTAAACTTAGCTAGGTCGACGACTGTCGCTTCCCTGAATGCTCACTCCGGGACTCCACTGACCAATGGTTAATCATGCTGCCAGAAATGGCCCGATCGCGCAGTTAGTGGCACTTGTGCATCAAAGCTATCGTCTTCAATGCGTAGCTACTCAGTTCCAGAACTAACCGAACATGCGTCCAGTGTTTGGCTGTATGACCCACACTCTCCCAATTTCCGCTGACCGAAACTGTTACAGCTGGAACCAATGTGCTAATGGCACACGGTTTATACCTAATGAATTGAATGAATTGATTTCTTGTTCGATTCGGCATGTCAGTATCCATCATAGACTACGGACTAAGGAGATGACTTTTAACACTGGTAAAATGGTTTGTCAGTCGGCACTTTTCTCAGTTTTTCAAAGCTCCTGGCACCCAAAGTTGAATCAGAACCAAACAAAATCCAATGGCTGTTCTGGTCTTTGCAACACATTCTATCAGTTTGATTTTCATACTAATCCTAATAAATCAAAATTGTAATCCAAAAAATAACGAGAACGAAGCACGGCAGTGGTGCTATTGTATCTTGACGCAACTTGCTAGTGTAAGCTTTGTTGAACAAGGTTCTTGGCGTGGACCCCACAGAATCAGCCAATCGCTGGTCACCTTATTCCAAAAACAAGCAGTTCGGCCGTTGGTCGAAGCAAATGACCTAGCGTTAACTTGGCCCCAAACCTCAAGTTTTTAATCGTCTTACCTCTGCTTGGTCTATCAACATCAGTGGAAGGAACAACCCTTGGTGCGGATTTGTACACTTACCAACATGAAATAAGCGGCTATAAGCTATTAATCACGGAAGTAAACGCCTCGTTTGCACAGCGTATGTGAAACGTGAACATTCTTAATCGTCCCCTCGAGCCTTCCTGGACGTTCTTTGAATAATAACCAATAAGGACCAAGCACTGCAAAGCGGTTTCCTATTTCCCGCACCAATCTCCTATTAGACGCTGGGATGGTGCTTTGACAACTGGCCAGAAGTTACTCACATGTTTCATCAGTAGTATACACGTTACACGAGTATTGAGTGTGACCGATCACGTCCCGGACGATAGTATCTCCCGGGCATCCAAGCCAAATGAAAAAGCTGTTGGACGGAAGGGATATCCAGTTTTGGACGTCATTGTTCTCAAGGGACGAGGGTAGAATCAGAAAAACCTTCTCCTAGGTGGATGCCTCTTTTTGAAACCGCATTCATGATATGCTAAGTAATAAAACACCATATTGGTGTATTTGCATGTGGATAGGTCAGGTTTTAACAAACCCCGATCCAGTCTCAAGTAATTCATGATCGACATCCACCGCATATCATGCTGCACCGGTTTTTACGTTGTACCAGACGTCGAAGTTTGGGGCGAGACGGCCCAAGTGGTTAGAGCGCGAATTTACTGACCGGAAGGTCCGTGGTTCGAATCCGACCTCCGCCACTCGACTTCCCCTGTCTAGGCTTGGGCAACCTGGCAGTATCCCAGCCCTCGTGCTTTATTTCGGGTGGCATGGCAGCTAGGCACCGGAAGGGTGCTACAGCTGAACGCTTTCTTTCTGTTTCGAAGTTTGGAACGAATTTCCTAGTCTTACCGCCTACTTACTAACCTTCCTGCTTTTCATGTGTTCCGTTAGTAGAGTGTGTTTTAAATGACGGACAAAACACATGATAGATCAGCTGAACTTTTTTAAAACCACCGAAACCCAACCAACTGACTTGTCTAGCTTTAACCTCAAGCCCGCGTGAGAAAGTGAACAAGAGTAGGAAGGAAAACTGGACAGGTAGCATGTGATATCCTGTTCAAACTTGGATAGCTGATGTGTGATTTTTTCCGCTGAGCTGAGCGGATCACAAAAGTTCAGAAGGCTCACGATATCAGCAAACGTTTTCCGAACTTTTCAGCTCCAGAGTATGTCTCATTTTGTTACTGTGTGCAGCTAAATGTCAATCAGCTATTAGTGAGGAAATTGTCATCTTAGATGAGAAGATATTTTCGGTACATTTAGAATGAATTACTAACCGAATATCAGGTTAGTATCGGGTTCGATGCTCATATCACGAAAGTAACAGTTATCCTCCATTTATACAACATGCTGAGCACAATATGCTCGTTTTTAAAAAAAAACGAATAATAACACACTCTCATGTGTTTTAAAGCATAACTAGAAATTCAAGAAAGCCCGGGCGTCGGAGGTGCCTCCTTTGTTTCGGCGTTGCGGGGTAAGATGTGGCTGATCGTTCGTTAAAAGAATAAAACTTTGCGGAGAGAAAAACCTACTACTGTGGAAAGGTCCTAAACAAACATTCGTGCGAGCAGCTGATCGATGCAGGGAGGGTGCAACCACAAATGAAGAATTGCCATAATTTGTCTGGTGAACTGTGCAAAGGGGCGAGATGGCTCAAGTGGTTACAGCGCGAATTTACTGACCGGAAGGTCCGTCGTTCGAACCCGACCTCTGTCTCTCGACTTCCCCTGTCTAGGCTTGGGCTTGCGCGAAACTACTGGCCAGAAGGTTTGTAGTTCGAATACGAGCCCGACTTTTCAGCTACCCCTTTTAGACTCGGATAACCTCATGCGGTCGTTGAGTTGCACGGCAGCTAGGTATTGAAACAGTGCTAGGATTCACCGTTTTGTGATGAATATACGCATAGGGCAAAGGGTCTATAACAAAGCTGATGTTCTTTCAGTCTTTACATACCAGGGATATCTGGAAAAATCATTTGGTGAATTCTGAATGGAGGTGTGTCTGCTGGTTCTTTATGGATACAATGCTTCTTGGCAAATGCAAGGCAGGTGTGAATTCAAGATAAATTGAGCCGACTGCTGATTTTACCACAGATACAACCGCTTTCAGGTTATTGCGCAACTTCTTCGATAGAAAGAACAACGTCCAACTCAATCTCTTTACAGATGGTCGGCATATTACCGGAGTTAGAGCACAAATTCC